TCTTCTCCCAAAAAGTTCCAAAAGAATGACAACACAACACAGTTACAAACAATTACACAGTTAAGGAAGAAAGATAAGAAATTACTCCAATTATCCAATCTCTCTCTCTCTCTCTCTCTCTCTCTCTCTCTCTCCAACTATCACTGTAATGGTTATTTTGCATGCAATGCTGTAGCTTGATGATCAGCATGCATGCATGATGGCAGGAAAAGAGAGAGATGGATCAGAAGAGCTTTCTTGGGTATCATCAGTAGTCACTTTTTTGTTTGGTTTGGCATGTTTGCATGCCTTCTGTTTGCTATAGATATGATTCATAGAATTGTTCTAATAATGTATTAATTTTGAAGTAATTTTCAGGTCTGGAAACAGCTTGAGTATATATTTGAGAAAAGAGTAAAAGCTCGAAATAGTCCCCCGACTATCAATAATTAGTCCAGAGGCAGTCAAAGCGATTGAGGCAACCAACACGAGTGAGGAGATCGGGCGAGATGAGCTGCGGCATGCTTCGACGTGTGTGTGATAGGTAGCGGCTAGCAATGTGCGACATCCACGAGACGGAGCTAGGTTTGTTGTTTCTCTTGGTCTCAATTTTCCGCTATTTAATTCAGTAATGAAATGGCAGCTTGTTCAGAAGAACAAAAAATTCATAGGGGAAGAAGAGGTCTTTTAGTGAATATTTTTTCCTTATAATGTGATTACAGAGTATTTTTATTAAATTTAAAATAATTTGCTTTTATCCTCAATTTCCAAATAAATATTTCTCATAAAAAGCCCATTACATGAAATAAGAATTGGTTTTTATCATAATTACTATAATTATATTCTAATAAATAGCTCAAGTAAGCAATTTTACATTACTTTTATCCATTTATTATAACCAAGTAAGCAATTTTATCTCAACATCGCAAAACTACCAAAGTGAAAATAACTTTTTAAAAGTTGCTACAAAAAATAAATTTTTAGCATAAAAAGTTTTTGAAAAAAGTAAAAAATAACAACTAAGTCGTTGTTTGGGGTGGCTTTCGTAATGCTTTTTAAAATAGTTTTTTAGTACAAAAATTTCTAGCTCGATAAAATTTTGTATTACCTAGAAAGCTGCATTCGAAAAAATAAAAAGTCGTCCCAAACGAAGCCTAAATAAAAACTGTTGTTGCGTTATGAAAAACAAAGCAATAAGAAAACTGTCCCAAACGAAATGTAAATTTAATGAAGATGAGTTATTAGAATTTTCATTGCATTCTTGACCTTTTACTCATAATTTTGGAGACACCAATTATTATTTATTTAAAATTTATAATGATAGAGATAATTTAGTATCTTAGAATAATATGAAATGTTGCACATATAATTGAGAAACACATTTTTTTTTATATGGGAAACATAATAAGGGGCAAAATTATGAGGTATTTTTCATTGAAATAGTTTCACTAAGAAGTAAGAAGGGAGCTTTAAGATGTTTGTTTGTTTTAGATATCATCTCTATTATGCACGTCAATGGAGTTACTCATGCTGAGAAATTTTGGGTTGTAAGACAAAGCTCAAAAAAAAAAAAAAATTCTCCTCTTGTGAAGTTTTTTATCATGTCTTTTATGAAGAATTTCTCTTAGGAGTTTAATAACCTCTTGGGCATCAATATGACTGACATGTTTGATCATGGAAGAATCTTAAGTATTATTCTTAATCAAATTTATTATGTGCATGCCAGAGAAAGACGAGTAGCTCGAGGTGAGAGAGATTTTTTTTAGGACATTTGAGTCATTAAAGTAAACTATCACACATATTACATATAGGGGTGTCAAAAACGGGTTACGGGTCGGGCTCAGGTCAAACCCAACAATGAACCGCTTCTATTTGACATAATCCGTTCCGTTTTTGCAAACGGGTCAGATTCTTAGACCCGAACCCGACCCGCATCATATCCGATTCAACCCGACATGACCCGATTCACGCGGTTTCGTGAACATACCAGAGTTTGACGGTAATGCCCGATGGCGGTTAGCAACGAAGGTGTGCGAGGGCAGCAGTTAGCGAACTAACTAGATGCAGGGATGCTTGAGCTGCTTGATGCGACGGCGAGTGCAACGGTCGTGCGAGGGCAACGATCAGCAACGACGAATGAACCAGTGGCTTGAGTCCCCGACGGCGATGCGACTGAGCGGACAAAACTGAGTGGACGAGGCTGAGATGGAGTGATGGAAGCGACTGAGAGAGATGGCACGATGAATGACGCGACTGAGCTGTAAATGGTCAGTCTGGGTCAAATAGTGATTTGATTTCAGGTTTCCGTATCAACCCAAACCCAACCAAGTTTTACAAACGGGTCGAACTCCCAAACCAGAACCCAAAATTTTCAGTTCGGGTTCGAGTCAGATTTTCGGGTCATTTCAAATATTGACACCCCTAAGATTCACATGCGCAACTTCAAACTCAAAACCTCTTGATTTGTAGCCAAAATCTCAACCAACATATCAATATGAGTTGCGTGGTGAGAGATGTGTTACAAATTGGCATATTTATCAAGGTATTATAAATATAATATCAAGGGCTAAAAAAAGGGGTATGCAATCTAAACAATTATCTAGTTTTTGCTCAAAGCTATATGAGACAATATAATTTTTCTCGATAATAAATACTTGCTCTCGACACTCCACAATGACTGTAGGTTTGAACCTTGTGTCAATTAATTTTATTGTGATACTTACCGATCTGAATTCATCATAGAATAACTTAGCCTTTTACACAACTTGCATTGGTCTATTAGTTGGGAGTTTAGGCTATCAATTAAGAGGTCTTGGTTTCGACTCTTTTGTATGCGATATGTGTATGAATTTATCTTAATTGACATATATATATATATATATATATATATATATAACTTAGCCGTATTCTTATTTAATCTTAAAATCTCAATGCAAATGCTTCTCTGACTAGCAAGTTTCCATTATTAAGACCTTTAATGGGCATCTTATTGGTGGGTGGAAGAATGGCTTCACATTTACAAACTCATAATTGAGAGTCAATTTTGGAGGGCACTCATTCAGTATGGTCTCCCGAGTTCCACTTTCTAATGTATGTCATATCATTAGCTTAAGCTTCATAGACATTTTTCTCTATGTATTAAGAAAATATAATGCATATTGTTTTTGTATCAAAGCATATATCCCCACAATCATGTATGTTATAGAGTTACCACTTTAATCAATGGGAATCCCTTTGTGGACTATAAGATCCACATATACTTCATCATTTTTTGAAATATTATACGTATGCTTTGTTTGGGAAGGCTACTTCTTCTTAGAGAAACTTTTTTATTATAAAAAGTTAATTTAAGAAGCAGAAAGAAAGTCATCCCAAACAAAATCATAATCTCTTGTCTAATTCTTATTTGGACATAGCTTCCCTCAAGAACTCCTAATTTGCCCAGACCACTCACTAGCTAGCTATGTGTTCTCGTCAAAAGAATTTATTAAAGCTACTCACCCACAATTGTTCACAGATCAACAATTAACACCCAATAGTAATGCTTGAGACCCCCAATAGGGATTATAGAAAGTAAATTTCCACAAGTAGACAACTATACTCATTAGCAGGGTTAAATCTTGTCAGAATTTTGGAGGTTGTGGCTATTATTTATGATAATTGTCGACGTCGATGTTGCTATCGGTAGCAATAACTAGTGGTTCTGGTCAGTGACAATAGCTAGAAATACATGAGAGTTCTCTAGTTCTTTCATATCAATTGTCATTCCATTAAAGCTTGAAGTTTTCAATCATACTTCAAGTGTTTGATTTGAGCTCATTAAGTCTTAGATTGGACCATCTTTAATATCATGAGATTCATCTCATTGAGAAGTTCAATTCGACTATAAATTTTTTTAAATTGAAGTTCATATAATAATGGATTTATCTATAGAAGATTCTAATTTAATTTTTTTGTTGGCATACGAGCTGATCACATCGATTTTTTTGTAGATTTATCAATATTAATTTTATTTTTTTATTTAAAAAATTATATAAGATATAGAATAAAAAATCCAAGATAAATTTTAAATATTTTGATGAGTGGAATTCTAGCTCTCATCTAATTTAACTGAAAAAAAAAAAACCCCAGCAACATGATTATCACGCATTTCATGGGCTAGGCCGTTTTGATCTGTTACTAAATTGGTCCATTATTGGGGGTAAAGTTTAATGGGCTACTCCAAGTTTTTTTAAAGGCTAGAAACGTAGAATAAGCCCAGCAAATATGAGGATCTACGCGCAGATCTGGTACAGAGTAAATTTTTTTTTTAATTATGAGCAAGATACATTCAAGTAAAATTGAAATATATTTATTAAAAAATTTAAGATATTCTAAATTTATAAAATAAAGAGAGTAATTTTAGTATTATTTTATAATATTAAATATATAATACAAGTATTCTACAAATATTTTTTTCCTATCGAACATGTTTCAATAAAATTTATTTGTAATAATACTTTATAACCAAATATTTTATATAAGTAATTGAGGGTTATTTGGTTGCCTGAAAAGAAATGCAGTATAAAAGAAATGTTTTCAAGATGTTTGGATGATTGTAAAAGGATTGAATAAGATTAATTTTTTTGTTTGGTTTGAGGGAAAATGAATGCAATATAAAATGCAAAAAAGGTAGTTGTTGACAGTGGATAGCTAACGATGGTGGTGGTGATCAACAGTGGTGGTGACTGGTAGCGGTGGGTGGCCAACAGGTTGGGTGGTTGGCAACTGCAACAAGGGTGACGGGCGGTAGTCAATGGCTGACGTGCGGTAGCAGTGGGTGGCGGCAATTGCGATAAATATCTGATGTATTTGGGAATCTCCCAAATCAGAGTTCTTGGTTTAAACTAGAAGGTGAATTCATTTTACTTTGAAATTCTACTTTGTATTACTTTTACTTCAAAACAAATATCAATATTTTCAAAATCTTTACAATACTTTACAACCATTTTATAACAAACCAAACAGTCCCTACATAATAAAACTTCTTAACAACCAAACATATATACTTGAAACTCACATAAAGCCCTATTTAAAACAAACCGCAAGCCACAAGTTCAATTTTTTTTATCTATGGATTACAATTTAGAGTTCCCGACACGATAAACATAATTAAACACACTTAACATAATACAACGGTACTAATTGATTATCTTTCTCATCTTCTTACTCACCTTAGCATCAAATTGATCAAACAAAGTCTTCTCTCCATCCTTTTCTCTCTTCAACTTAAAAATAGTCTCCACAAGAACTCTCTTGTTCTTGAAAACATTCCCTTTCACCTTCACATACATATCATGATAAACATGCTTATCAATTTTATTATTCTCTCTGTATTTCTTCAACAAACGCCTGAGTACTCTCATCTTCCTCATCCACAAGACCTTGGTGGGGAGTCTGGCTTCCATGGTACCCTTTCTCTTACCATATCCAGAATGTCTTCCCTTGCGCTTGGCCTCTGCGAAGCGTCTGGACCGAGATCTTGAGTGAATCTTCTCTGGTTTCTTGATAATGAAACCTTCATGAACAAGTTTTCTGATATTTTGGCGAGAGTTGGCGAAGGAGATGTGGTTAAGTTCTTTGGGATCGAGCCAGATTTTGCCTTTGCCGCAGTTGAGAAGGCTTGCGGCCAGCCGTTTGTGCAGCTTAAGAGAGGCCGCCATGGATTCTGAGGTAAGCAATAGGTGGAAGATAGAATGAGAGAGATGAGAGTAGAGCTTGCATTGTGATATATTTAAGGGAGGGGGAAGGGGAGGATTGCTTGGAGCGCAAGTCTGAGAAGTTGTGAGCTCCAAGACTTTGATGGAGTCAAAACTTCATGGGATGGATTTTCTAATGAGATTAATAAGTTTTGGAGTCAACAATTGGATTTATTTTATGATTTTTGTAATATAAGTTTTGATTGGTTATGTATATTGAGTTTATTTTAGAAAAAAAAAATGATTTTAAAGTTCATCTGGATTAAGTTTTAATCTGAATATTTTGTGTATATAACTTCATTTTTAACCAAAAAAAAATATATTTTATGTATATTATTTCTCTTTTTATTGTAACATAATAGGAAAAAATGGGTTTTTGTGATAATTGCGTTTCACAACCGAGGTGAAATGCAAAAATACGATTTCATTTGCGGTTCGTTTGGACGTTCGCGGGAGCTACAAACGGGCAAATGACATTCAATTAGAGATACTCTAAATGACCTATTGCTTATTGATATATTTCAATGTCAACCTTACCCTTATGTTATTCGGATAATATAATCCAAATATAATAAAGCACAATCTTCAACTTTATAGATAAATCCCTGAATATTTTACAAGGATTTACTCGTTGTTTAATTTATCTTAACATTTCTATTTATGAATGGGAAGGCCTTAAATGCTTGCTTTTAAGAATGGGAAGGCCTCAAACTATCCTATATTATACTAGTATATTATTTTCATCCCCCGTGACAATTGATCACGGGAGGAATAGTAAGGAATGCAGGCGCGCGTGGGTTAGAAAGTGCGGGAGCAAGAGCTGGAGCAATGGATTGAAACTCACAATGAAGGCCGGGCACGAGAAGGAATAGGCTCGGTTTGACGGGTTTGCTCATAGAGTTAGTACAAGGAGCCGATCAGATCTCAACAGGCGCACATGTAGTTCTTTGGTCATAAAATCTGACCAAGGTGGAGATTATTGTGTATTTGTCCGATTTTAGATTATGTTGTTAAAATGGGGTATTGAAGGATAACTTTAGTTAAATGTGAAGACATTTAAAAATTAAGGTGAAAATAAAGTTGACTAACACCCCCGTAAGGGAAATTTTTTGTGGGCCAAATGTCAAAGCTTGTCACGTAGGACATTACGAGAGTGTCAACGATGCGGGTTTGAGCGAAGTTTTTGAAGATCATTGGAGGATTGCAGGTTGGCGGGTTGCATGAGATGGATGAACAGAACTAACTATGTTAGTGAGATCGATATACTTTTGTGATAAAGGTGGAACCCTTATTTTATGGTGAGGTGGATTTGCATGCGTGTTCTCAAGCTAAACTGTAGACCTGTCAATTTCGGGTCACAGGTCGGGTTCGAGTCGAACCTGAAACTGACCCGACCCTATTCGGTTCGTTTTAACCCAACTAATTTTTTTGCAAACGGGTCGATTTTTCGGATAGGAACCCGACCCGCTTCGGGTTGAATTTTTTTAGTTCCAGAAGGGTGCAGCGGCAGCGATGCCGGCAAGCAAACCGAGCGACGCGACGCTAGCGACTACGACGCGACGCGAGCGACGACGCTGCGATGTGACACAAGGGCAGGCGGGTGCAGAACAGCGGGGCAGCGGGCGCGGGGCAGCTGGGTTTCCGGGTCATTCCCGGGTCAATCTGAACCAGACCCGATTTTGCAAACGGGTCGATTTTTAGGACCTGAACCCGACCCGCTTTGGGTTTGGGTCAACCTAAACCCAAAATTTTCGGGTCGGGTTTTCGGATCGGATCCAATATTGACAGGTCTAAGCTGAAGAGCCCCAACTAGTTGTTGATCTTGATGGAGGTGGGTCCCTTTGCTTTGTGTTGGAGTTGGCTGCCATACCCCCAATAGGAGCTTAAATATTTTATTATGAGATTCCTCCATCTTACTACTAATGCAATTTTTTAAGGGTGATCATGATGTACCTTCATGAGTAGAGTTGAACTCATCAAGGAAGAAAATGGAAAAGCCTAACAACTTGGTTCAAAGATAGATCCTTGTAATCATGATCATTGGGACAAGAGGCTTCATTTTTTGCGAATACTATTCATGTTGGCCATCGAATTTATGCGCGTAGGGTTTACAATGGTGGTATTTTCTTCAAAAAATGATGTCAAACTGTTGTGTGCTAAGAAATTCATGGCATTAGAATGATATGGTTCCAAAATGATGCATTCTAGAAAATTTAAGGCATTAGAGTGGTAGAATTTTTGTGGCCTACTTTTGTAGGGAGATCTCACATACAAACTAATAAAAAGATTGTGAGACATCATAGATTTTATATAGAAAACTTGGGAAGGAAAAAACAAAGATACCTAGTCCAACAAAAATAAGAATTTACTCACCCTTCAATTAAAAAAAGATGAGATTAAAAGAGTAAGTGGTTGGTAGAAAATAACATTAAGTCAACAAGAAATGAGAGGCATTTGAACGTTGTAGCCAAATGAGGGTTTCTTTGAATTTATTTTAAAATATATCAAATTAATCAAGGTTTATATTACAATAATCTCAAAACCAGTTAAGCCAATTATTTGTTTTTTTTACAAAAAATCGAGGGAATCCTAACTCAAAATTTCCTTCTGTCTTGTGCAATTCTCCTAACATATATTCAGATCAATTTCATACGATCACATGACCAAAAACAAAATTTTAGCAGACCTTAGTAGAATAATGATGGGAAGAACCCTTAGGGCATTGGAAGACAAAAAAATTCCTTGATTGTGGTTCAGGTGGCGATGTTAAAGCTCTATATATAACTGGTTGTTACCAATCGAAAGAAGACAATAATCAATTGTTTGGTATAAGATGTTCAACTCTATAAATGAGATTTCACATTCTGTAAAAATGGTTTTAAGTTAATTTTCTCTTGCGCATGGCAAGACTCAAAGCTTTGGAGGATGCAACAGAAACAGGGGCTGGGCCAAGATATTGTCCATGAACTTGTGAAAACTCCAGAGAAAACAATAATTCAATTAACTCATCAACGATACTTCAGTAATTTAGAGAGAATAATTGAATAGAAGATATGGAAAACAAACAACTAGGGTGGAACAAATGAGAAATCACTGTAGAAAAAACGAAGAGTAAAGCAGCTGCCGGAGATTGGTGCAACTTCTAGCAGTATTGAGAAAAAAAAAAATCTAACTTTGTGCTTAAACTAATAATTCTTAAACGAAAATCAGTGCCTGAATTCCCGTAGAGACTAAAATCTTCATGCTCAGTAGCAGAAATTTATTATCGTCATCATCATCATCAGTCTTATTTAAATGCCAGAGCAAGCAGCTATGTAAGTTGCTTAGAATTCCTTCAGGAGAGACCGGACCTGCTCTAGGGTTACGAACAGGACAATGGTGAAAGGACCCTGACGAGAAACAGTAGGAATAAATCCCTTATAAAGAGCCATCGGCCCCTCCGCCTTCACCGTCTTCACCACACAGTCGATTGCCCCAGTGTAGGGAGGCGCCTTCCCTTTCTCAACCCTCATATTCATCACCCGCGTCTTAACCACATCCACCGGGTTTGATGCTACCGCCGCCACTAATCCCGCCGCGAAACTAGCCGCCACGTGCGTCGGCAATCCATCAGGTAACAATCTCCTCCCAATAATTGCCTCCTTGGCCTCATCATAAGTCGCCAGCTGCGAAGCCGTCACGATCATCGCCCTGTTCACTGTAAGCGCCGAGCCCCGCCAGAGAGACCCCAATCCTTCACTGCGTACCATCTGCCCTAGGGCATCAACCACTCCTCGATAATTCCGGCGATCTGCAATCGGAAGCCGCCCGTCCGCCTGCATTCGCACCATCGCCACATCGGCGGGGTTACCAACCGCCGCACCCACCGCACCGGCTATTAAACCAGCCGCGATCTTCTTGTGTAGCGGTAGAGCCGCCGCCGTGCCTTCGGAAGACATTTTGGTCTTTAGGATGTCGTAGAGACCCATGCGGGTGGTGGAGTAGAGGGTTTGGCGGAGTATGGTGGCCGAGATTCCGGAGAAAAGAGCGGAAGGACCCTCAGCGCGAAGGATCTGAGCGCCAACGGACAGGAAACCAGGGCGGCGCAGGGACGGGTTGGAATGTGGGATCGCAATGGGGCTAGAGCCTGGGAAGGCTAGGGCAGGGCGGAGGGCGGGCGCCGCCGCCGCCGATTCGCCCTGCAGCTGCAATCGGACCTTGATGAGATCGAGCGGATGGGTGGAGCAGCCAGCGACGATGGAAGCGATGCCTCCCTCCACGAATCCCTTCAGACCCATTACTTCAGATCCGAACGAAACCGGTTACCAAAATTTTCAGTAACGAGAAAGATCTAAAGAGAGAGGATATTGGGGCAGCGAAGATGGGGGCGTGTTCTACCAATCAGAGCTAGGGTTCATCTCACTGGAGACGTGGAGATGGGAATGAAGGCCGAAAGCTATACAAGAGAAATGGGGAACGGCCGTTCTCTGAGACATGAAAGGCTTTCGATCTAATGGTTGATTTTCGAGATGGGGAAGAAGAGGCACAACGTAAGCTATTTATAGCAGAGGGGTGTTTCTCGTCCGCCGTAACAACCCTTCTAGGTTTTTTTTTTTTAAATTCCAAAATATAATATATAATTTTCTATTTAAGTAATAAAAAGTTTTAATTGGGCACAACTTCTTAAACAAAGGGGAGAATCCTAAACTAAATTTTAAAACTTGGGTAAGTTTATTTTTTAATTAAAAAATCCTAAATAAAAATTATATATATAAATGCTAAATCTTGAATAATAGATATCGCATTAAATTTTATTTATTTTATTTAAATGAAATATATATCCTTTTTTTTAATTAAACTATCAAAATACAATTAGTTGCTTTGAGTCGTCAAATAACATTTTAAATCCTATTTTTAAAATTATTTTCTTGATAAGAGAAATAAATAGTCAATTAAAAATAATATATTTGCCAAATAATTATGAATTATTATTTTCAATTTTATTTTTGAAAAAGAATTTTAAAACTAGGACTACAATAACAACAACAACAACATCAAATTTTTGTCCCACTACGTAGGGTCTGTTACATGAATCTTTTTTCTCCATTATGTCCCGTTAAAATTCAAATTCTCGTTTAAATGTAATAAAGAAAGAACATTTCTAATATTTTCTAACGAAATTTTTTTAGGCCTACCTCTATCTTTCTTAACATAAGTCAAATCTAATACTTATATTTTTCTAATCGGAAGACTGCTATTTTATGTGACCAAACCATTTAAGGCGATTCTCTCTAATTTTAAAACTATGACTAAGAAAAGAAATTAAAATAAATATAGAAAGTTTTAAATTATGACAAATAAAATTTGAGGAGCCTTTAGTAAACTCAAAATTTAATTATTCATATAATTTTTATATAACTTAATTCAACGTATTTATAAGAAATACTTAAATGTTTTATTTATTATAATTTCGTATAATATTTAAAAAATAATTTAAAGTTCTTTTTTTTTTCATAGCATTGATTGCTTTTGATAAAATATTATTATTATAAAATTTAAATAAACTCGTCTAAAAACGAAGCTTCGCCGTTCGCTTAAGCCCAACGCGGAGTTTGGACTTCAAACAGCCAAATTAAAGTCTGGAACCCTAATTAGTGTTAGTGGTTGAATTTGGAATATTTGTCAGCCGTCAATATTCCATGGAATTGGGATCATATTCAGATTGGACGGTGGAGGCTCTTTGCTTGCCCTTTGTTGCGATCAACGGCGATTGTTCAACCCAAATAATCAGACGGCGTAGTACACTATGATGACGTGTCAAAACCTCATTGCGTGAGCTGGACTTTCTGGAGAGCGTTTTTCTGCCGCTCGCCGCGGTCAGCGTAACGTGGAATCGTCGCTTACGATTTTCTTTTTCTTTTAAAAATTTTATAATATCAACGAAAAATCAAAAGCGCATAAAACGCGATAAATTTTTATTCTTGACGCAATCTATTTTAAGAAGGCCGAAGAAGCAGCGGATGCAACACACTTTATAAGGGATTTGCTATGATTAATTAACGTGTCAAGTGACGAAGTAATTACTTGACGCGTATAAACATTTCTTACATGACAGGTGAATGGCCTAATCAACATATTTATTCTAAAGAAACTCAACTTCTATAGGTAATAAGCAATTAAGTTAAATTTACACGCATCACATAAATAATAATCGAATTCAATATCTCTTAATTGATAGTCTAAATTTCAAACTAACAGATCAAAGAGAGTTGTAATTTATGAAGATGTTGATGAGCATAATCATTATGTTATAAGTCTTAGATTTTGCTTGGGACAGCCACGAGTGTCAATATTTGACATGATCTAAAATTTTAACTCGGACATGACCCGAAAATTTCTAAGTTTATGTCACCCTGTTTGACATACAGGTCGAGTTCAGGTTCGAAAAGTTGACTTAGAAACTAAAAAATGACCCATATTAACCCGTTTAACCCGACTATACGCCTGTAATGCAATCCATAGAGGTGCCCACGAAGCCGTGATTACCGTGAAGGCCACCTCTCACACTTACATCTCCGCCATGCGTCACCGCTTGGCCACCTCTCATCCCGCTATGAGCCATCCACACTGTCAACACCACCCTAGCTGCACAGCCCGCACAGTAGCACCCATATGCCCTATTTGCACGGCTCGCACTTGCAGTGGCCTCAGGCCCAGGCTGCCAAACCTCCAGCCAATCCACTCGCATGGTTCGCACCTTGCCAGCATCGTCGTGCTCTGCCAGGCTCTACCAGTTTGCCCCCTAGCTATTACCTGTCACGACCCGACCCGAGACGAGACGGATCCCGATCGTCCCGGACGATCCGACTTCGTCCGGACGAACCTGGAGCAAAAACTGATATTACATTACCTCTATGCCCATTTCATATTCGTGGATCGGGTCGAGTCAACCGAACAACCCACGTGGGTCAGGTAAGGTTTGGATTGCCTGACCTATTTGTAAAAATGGGTCGGGTAAGGGTGAATCCGTTTAAAATCATGTCAATTTGGGTTTGCCTCGAACCCAATCCGCTAACCCATTTTGACACCCCTAAGGACAACTTGCTTATTACTTCTTAAAGTAGCTTTTTAGTACTGTTGCGGGCTAGAAATTACACGGCGATAGAGACTTGATTCTACGTCTTAGCGTAGTACGTATAACTAGCACACACACAGAGAACACAAGATTTTTTATGTGGAAAATCCTAAAAAGGGAAAAACCACGAGGACTGAATCACCTCCAGGGATGATCAAATTACAATCAATTACTTAAGTAAGACGTCGAGTCTTCGACAGGACGTAGGGACTGAATGTTGAGCCCTGAGTATGACGTCGGGTCTTCGATAGAACGTAGGGACCGAGTGTCAGGCCTTGAACAGAACGTCGGGTCTTCAGTAGAGCATAAGGACTAAACGTCGGGCCTTAAGGTGGTGGTCCGGCAAGGTTCTGCGGTGGTCCGGCGAGGTTCCTGCGGTGGTCCGGCGGTGGGATCTTGGTGTCGTTGGGTTCGTATTTCCGAGACGCTCAGTTTGACTGTAAGCTCGTTAAAATCGGAGTTCGGATGCTCCCGGATTTAATTTTTGAAGTCTCCAACTAGCTTTTGCCTCGAGATTCGTGCCCGATCAAGCTAATTTTGTGATGACGTATCAAGTACATAAATTATTTTTTTTGCATTAAAAAGCTATGTTAAGAAGCAGTACGAAAGCCATTCCAAGCGAAGCCTTGGACTTCATTTGGGATAACTTTCTTTCTGCTTGTCCTTGAATTCATTTGGAATGACTTTCTTACTGTTTTTTAAAACAATTTTTTAGCATGGTTTTTTTTTATAATCAAAATTTTTGTGCTAGAAAGTTGCTTTAGAAAACAATAAAAATTTTGTTGGAAAAAAAATCTTAATTAAAAAAAATTAATGATTTGATTAAAGATGAATCTTGTCAAAGTTCATTGGTGGTGTAAAGATTTTTTTAGGGCATAAATTGGTATTCCAAATATGCTTTATGAATCATCAATTTTTACACTTTTCTATTATACCATTCAATTATTTGAGCCTTTATTCTAGTATAATGCAGAGGATCAAATGTCCAATATGTTAAAATATAAAATATTACATGTACCTATAAAACCCAATTAAAAATTTGCAAAATTACATATAATTAAAATTAAGAGCTAAAAATAAATCTAACAAATTGCAAGATTAAGGTTGAGCTGAGACGACAAAGTTAAAGGTAAATAAGCTTCATTTACCATTATCATGTCAAGTGGATATTTTTTAAATAGCAGTGTCAATTGATAATATTAGAAACACAATGATCTAGTTTAGGGGTGTTAATTTTTGACACGATCGGAATCTGACCCGGAAAAATCCGGGTTAGGGTTAACCCGGACCCGAAACGGGTCGGGTTCAAGTTCAACAAATTAACCCGTTTTAAAAATCGGGTCGGGTTCGGGTTCGGGTTGACCCAACAACTTGAAATTGACCCGAAATTGACACGAAAACTCCTATTTGACCCGAAAAACCTAGATTGACCCATTTTTACCCGATTTTGACCCAAATATCGAAGATTGACCCGATTTTGACCCGAAAACTAGTAATTTTAGGTCAACTTCGGGTCATTCATATCAGGCCAGGTTGACCCGAACCTGAATCTGGTCGAGCTCGGGTCCGGAAACCTGACCTGTTTTTAAAAACAGGTCAAGTTCGGGTTGACCCGAATAGTGCCGGGTCAATTCCGGGTTCGACCCGAACCCAACCCGTTGACCCGAATTGACACCCCTAATCTAGTTTGTGACTGTTCAAATTTCTAATTATTGAAATATTATCAGTTTTAGAATAATAGAATGCTCCCATACATAAATAGAATGCTCACATACAAATGTGCTTAACTTTAAAAATTTTAATGTAGTTCAAATCGTTACACTATAAGTCCACCGAATGTCAATAATATAATTTTTTATAAATGTGATTGTTACGTTCTTATGGAGAAAGTAACTTATTTGAAAACTGCTTGGAGTGATCGTAGTCGACAGTTGATGGAGGTCAAAATGACTGTAGTCGACGAGCTATTGAGGTCGAAGAGATAGTAGTCGGCAAATGACAGTGGTCAGAGGGACCATAATCGACGTGTGATGGTGGTTAGAGGGACCGTAATTGACGGGCGACTATGGTTAGAGACCAAACGGTAGTCTGAAGACAGTACATGGTCGGGTGGTGGTCCTACGGTGGTCCGTAAAAGTTTGACGGTGGTTGACAGGGGCCAACGACGGTAGGGGCGATTAAGAGATAGTTTGATCAACCAACATAAGTTGGCATATGATGGCGCATGCTTAGGTGGAGCTATAGATTCTTAAAGCTGTGGATCTTTTTCCAATCTCCAGCCAAAGGTCGCTCGCAAAGGACCAAGCCCCCCTTCATTTGGGAAGTGAAGATCTATTTATATATTTTTTAAAACGGCACGTCCCACAAATAAGGAGATCTGATGGCAACACATATTGATCCCTTCAATTA